GTAAAGGATTACCTTAACTAACGCAAAACTTCACAATCTTTCACTGAGGAAAAAAGTGAGTTTGTGGGCACTGGATAATCATGTTCTTGTATATTAACCTCTCACGTCCGCTGCAAACAAGTCTTAGAGTCATTCTTATACATTGACCATAAGGCAATGAGAGGTCCATTCTATCTAAATTTCCCTATAAAGTTGTTTGTCCTGCGCTGAATTATTCCAAAGGGATAAGAACAGTACAGTAACTGAACAAACGTCTCAGTGCTGATGTGTGACGTGACATCTAAAATTTAATCTGGTTTTGACTTGTGCTTCGATTCGGCTCACAACATTTGGGGAACTTTGTAATATATCAGGAAATACTTTCATTTGCTCATGGCTTTGAGCTAGAAAATTACCAGCATTGTAGCACGATGGTAGTGCTAAAACTCTTCTTCTTTGATTAAGGAAAGGTTCAGAGAGGAAGGTGCAATTCCAATGAGAAGAACGCAGCTGTGAAAAGGCAGCATCTACACAGTCCTGTAACTACACTCAGGTGCACCACCTGAGTACCCGGCCTCTCAATTCTGTTCCCAAGCCAGATTTCCTTTAGTTTCCTCCCACCAAGCCCAGACAGCTTAATAGAGAAATCATTTTTATTGGCTCTATAGTGAGGCTTTTTACTTTCTTTCTTAGCTTACACAGTTTATTTACAATTCACATCTTAGGTGCTTATGCCTGAATGTCTTCACTTTTTCTGTCCAATAATTTCTGTGTTTCAGATGAATTCACCTTTGAAGAATACAATGCCCCTTGCAGTGCTGGTAAAGTATAAGTGGTTCAATCTAACTCCAATTGAAAGAAACTAAATAAGCATTTCAGTTAAACAGTAAAGACTAATCCCAACTTCAAAATAAATAAGCATCTCAGTTCTCTGCATACGGCTGCTTCTTGTGATGAATGTAGTCTTTCCAAATCCTAAAATCCCCTGATGTACCATATTTCAACTGTATTATAGAATTTCTCAGAAAAAAAAAAAAAAAACGCAAGTTAAATAGAATTACCGGTGTCTTGGGTGACCTGTTTGAAGATGAATCCAAGAATTTGCCACATATAAAAACTAAATTATCTAATATGTAGTTTCCATTCTATACCTGGTGGTGATATATTCATCACTGATAGCCTTTCTAGGATATTTCTAAGTGTACACTAGTTAAAGTCAAGAAATTTGTCACTGTAATTATGCATATAGCACAGCATGAAAGGTGTGATCTATAAGACCTTCTTTTAGGCTGATTGACAGTGTTCATCTTTGACACAGAATTTGCCATGAAATCTTTGCTTCTCTATTTTTAAATATGAAAAAAATGGAGAACATCCCTATCATTAAAAGTTACTAAGTTCAAATATTTATGACTGAAATATAAAGAATTATTCTTAAATAGGTCACAGAATTTCCCTTATGTTTCTCCCTCTTCTTTTACTATTTAGAATCTCAGCAAGGAAATGCTTGAAAACAGGAGCTTATGGACCTCATCAGATGAACTTCTTCAGAAATGAAGAACAGACTTACCGAGAGAGGACAGTAAGAGAAAGAAGGGAAGATCATTGGAAATACATAAAATTTGTATGTTGAATAAATTTATGGCATTTATAACTCTATCTTTTGTTCTTTATCAATATTATATTCCCTTTCTTGAATATGTATCTATTCTCCATAGCATTTATTAAACAGCAAAAAAGCTATACAAAGAGGTGCACTCAAAAACACTACAGATGAATTAAAGTGGAATTCAAAAAAATGTCAATTAACCCACAAAAAGGAAAAAGAAAACGGCTTTTCCAAACATTGGAAACAACAGTAGGTCCATGAATAGATGAACGATTTGGCAGTCTGTGGCTCATCCTTACAGCTGGTTCTGCTGGACAGCGAAGAGGAACAAACGACTGACAGACACAAGGACTTGAGTGCGTCTCAAAAGCGTTAGGCTGCATGGGAAAAAAAGCCAATCTCAAAAGGTCACAATCTGTATAATTTCTTTTATGGGTGTGACTGTAAGTGGGTAGCATTAAAGAGTTTTTGTGGTGATGAAATCCTGCCTGTGTGGAAGTGAAATCCTGCTTCCGATTTTTGGATTTAATTCCATCTCAAATTATTTTCTTGTTTATTGGATGGTGAGTAAGTGAGTATTTAAATTGACTTGTTTTCCATGTAGTTTTCTAATGGTCCTATTAACACTGATTAACCAATTCAATCTTTTCCTGCTAATAAACCATGCCTCTGGGCCAGGTGCAGTGGCTCACGCCTGTGATCTCAGCACTTTGGGAGGCTGAGGCGGGCGGATCACGAGGTCAAGAGATGGAGACCATCCTGGCCAACATGGTAAAACCTCATCTCTACTAAAAATACAAAAATTAGCTGGGTGTGGTGGTGTGTGCCTGTAGTCCCAGCTACTCGGGAGGCTGAGTCAGGAGAATTGCTTGAAGCAGAGAGGTAGAGGTTGCAGTGAGCCGAGATCACGCCACTGCACTGCAGCCTGGCGCCTGGCAACACAGTGAGACTCTGTCTCAGAAATAAATAAATAAATAAAATAAACCATGCCTCCTTTATCACATAATAAATTATCATGCATATTAAGGCTAGTTTCTAAATGGTCTATTCTAGTCTATTCTTTCATAAGGATTCAAATATTTGAATTACGGTAGCTTAATAAAATGTTTTAATAACTGCTATGGCTGATGTATTTTCATTTCTCTGTTTTCACTTTTTCTTGTATTACTGATTTGTGTCCCTACCAAACCTCATGTTGAATTGTAATCCCCAGAATTGGAGGTGGGGTCTGGTGGGAGGTGATTAGATCGCAGAGGTGAATCCTTCATTAATGGTTTAGCACCATCCCCTTGCTGTTGTACTCGTGATAGAGTTCTGCAAGGTCTGGTTATCTAAAAGTGTGTAGTACCTCCCCCACACCTTGCTCATCGTGCTCTCGCCATGTTAGAAGCCTGGCTCCCTTTTAAGCCTTCTGCCATGATCGTAAGTTTCCTGAGGCCTCACCTCTCGAGAATCCTAGCAGAGGCCAGCATCATGCTTCCTGTACAGCCTGCAGAACTGTGAGCCAATGAAACCTCTTTTCTTGATAAATCACCCAATCTCAGATATTTCTTTATAGTGATGCAAGAATGGACTAATGGAATTACTGAGATCATTATTTGTTCAAGTTAAAACTCTAGAATCTTTTAAGTTCATTATCCCCATAGTCAATTATGTCTTGTTTGGAATTTGATTGAATATATGAATGAATTTATAATTGTCCTGAGTGTCAATTTTTTGCATCTAATCTTCCCTATTCAAACTCATTTTATATTTATTTACTCAATTCACATGAAGCAAATTCTAACTCTGACTTAATTTCTAACTTTGGACTCAACTATAAAGTTAAAGATTTGCTTCATGGACATATATTGTCGGATACTTTGAAAAAATTAAAAAATGTATACGTGAGACAAATTAGAAGATTTTTCCAAGGTAGTGAAAAGCTAAAAGAGTATTTCTCATTTGCTGATCGATGTCATTGAAAGGTTTTAAGCGAGAGAGTAGTTCTGATTTGCCTTATGGATAGTCATCTTCCAGGCAATGGCAAGAAGAAGAAAGCAAGTTTTTCCTGAATCCCAGGTTCACAACCCATTTGTGCAGAGCTGAGCTCTCTTCTTTGTGCTTAACGAAATGATTTAGGAGACATATCTCTATTCCACATTTACACAATTCTACACTTTGAAAATGATTTATTTTACTCTCATCCACATACTCATATCTCTTTGAAAGCCAAACCTGTATCTTAATCATATCTGTGCAGCCTGTTCACCCAACACAGTGCTGGGAGGTTGTGGGCACTCATCAAAACAAAGGAGTGATTGAGCGTGTCAGTGCCTGAGTGAGCCGATTTCTGTAGGTAGAAAGTTAGAGGTGACATGGAGTAACACTAAGGTGTCCGCACACGCTAGTAGGAAAAATGAGCTAGAAAAATCATTTTGACCCAAACCTGGTTTGAGCTGTTTAATGTTTCACAAACACTTTAAGGAATAAGATTTTGATATTTTTCCAAAGTCAAACTAATGAGAAGGAAAAACATTTGGTTATTTATTGGGACTTTGAGAAAACTTGTTTAAAAGTACATTTCATATTCAGTGAGCTTTGAGTGGGAAATCATGGCCACCATCTTGCAAAAGAAACTGTTAACAATTATTAGAAGGGTAAACACAAGTGATCTTTGTTATACTTTCAGTTGTATCCCCCAAAAATATATGCTGAAGCCCTAACCCCTGGTACGATGAATGTGACTTTACTTGGAAATAGCGTCCGTGCAGATGTAATAGAGATGTAAGTTAAGACAAAGTCATACTGGAGTAGTGTGGGTCCTTAACCCTGTAAGACTGGTGTCCTATCAGAAGAAATGATATGTGTACAGAGGAAAGGTGATGCAGACAGACACACAAGGAAAACTCTGTGTGACGATGGAGACAAACACAGGAACACCAAGGACTACTGACAACATCAGAAACTAAGAGAAAGGCATGGAGCAGGTTCTCTCTTAGAGCGTTCAGTAGGATCATGATCCTACCAATGCCTTGATTTTGCACTGCCACCCTCCAGAACCAACAGAGAATGAATTTATGTTGTGGTAAGCCGCTGACTCCGCAGTATTCTGTTACGGCAGTCCTAAAAAATTATTATAATTTCCAATTAAAATAATATCTTCTCATTCATTGGCCAAGTTTACTTAGCAAATTTTTAATTGTCTTTTAAGCAGCTCCAAATGGTTGAGTGGAGGAAGAATACATGTTTTACATATTTCCACAGAGTTTAATTTCACAATGAAAATGTCTTCTGTAATTTAAAACAAGCCAAAAAATATTAAAATCTGGCCCAGTGCAGTGGCTCACAATTATAGTCCCAGCTACTCAAGAGGCTAAGGGTAGAGGGTTGCTCAAACCCAGGAGCTGGAGACCAACCAGGGCAACACGATGAGAACTCATCTCTATTTTAAAAAAATAAATAAATAAGAAAATCTGAGAGGTGAGGTTCAGTTTTCCATTTCTAGCCTTCTGTTATGCTTAGAGCTTGTCTCACAAAAGACAAATCTCTGTGTTCTTAAAGTTCCCCAGGAACAACTTTCTTTTATTTCTGTGGTAATAAGGAAAAAGATGATTTATAATAAAAAAGCAAATCTATGCATGAATGTCTGGGTGAAGGGTTGATTTATTAATCTGTCTCACATACCCCCAAAGGGATGTTTGATTATTATTTAATGCAAAGTAGAAGCATTGTTAAAGATCTTTATTAAGAATCTTTTTTTTTTTTTTGAGACTGAGTCTGGCTCCATGGCCAGGCTAGAGTGCTGTGGTGGGATCCTGGCTGACTGCAACTTCCGTTTTATGGTTTCAAGCAATTCTCCTGCCTCAGACTCCAGAGTCCTGGGACTACAGGCATGCATCACCATACTTGGCTAATTTTTTATATTTTCAATAGAGACGGTGTTTCCCCATGTTGACTAGGATGGTCTCGATCTCTTGACCTCGTGATCTGCCCACCTTGGCTTCCCTGAAGTGCTGGCATTACAGGCGTGAGCCACCATGCTCAGCCAAGAATTTTTAAAACATAAAAAGTCACTTAAACAGCAATAATGTAAGAAATATCTCTATGCATTTCACTTAGTCTCAGGCGCCTTGTAAAATTTAGGCATGTGAATTAATACAATAGCAAAGAATATTCAAGATACTAAAGGCAAGGGTTCTATGTAGATTCAAGTTGTTGTTGAGCAAAGTTTTGCCTAAAAAAATCTGTGCCAAGATTTAATGTGTACTTAATTAGACAGGAGGGAACTTGTCCTGTCCAGTAAATGATCTCTGATTACTCAAAGTCTGTTAATATATTAACAAAAGACTTTCATCATCAGTACACTTGAATAACACTTGTCCCAAAACACTCTTTCCAGATTACTGAGCAGCTTAATGCAAAATTAAATTGCCTCTCTGTAGCAGGCATAAAAAACCAAAATATTGAAAATAAAAGGGAATGCCTTTATCAAAGTGTATAAGTTAAAGAGCACTTTCCTATAAAATATTTTATAATTCATATTGGGCTCACAGATAAGTATTATGAACTGTGGTAACTTTCTTTTTTC